GGTCATTGGTGGTAGCTGGGCACCATCTAGTTCTTCTGGTCTCAGGCTGATGAAGTCTCTGGTTTATGTGGCCCTTTCTGTCTGTTGGGCTAATACTTTCCTTGTGTCTAAGAACCTGAATTTCTTAATGGGTACTGTTTCATTTCCAGAAGTTTTCCTCAAAGGAAGCAATCAAGTAAATTTCTCACACTGACTGATATTAGAGATTAGCCTTCCACAGGCTCACCGATGAACTGTTATCTTTATGACTCTGCTAGCAGTTTCTCCTCAAAGCAGGGCTACGTTGTTATTCTAAGTTTTTGAGAAAGACTCAGAGACCCAAGATTTTTTGAAAGAAGTACAGCCAGAATGCTCTTTAGAAGCATTCTCACATACTTTGGACATGTTATCAGGACGGACCAGTCCCTGGAGAAGGACATCATGCTTGGTAAGGTAGAGGGTCATTGAAAGAGGAAGATCCTCAATGAGATGGATTGACGCAGTGGCTCAAACATAGTAATGATTGTGAGGATGGCTCAGGACAGGGCAGCATTTTGTTCTGTTGTACATAGGTTCACTATGAGTTGGAAGAGACTCCATGGCACCTAACAACAAGAAGATTATTTATTGTGTGGATAGAAGGCATGTCAAAATTGGCAAATTAAATGCTAATGTGAAAAGTAAATACCTGCTGTCTAATCAGCTTCTTCACATGTTTCAGAACTTGAGTTCACCAGAATGGTTGCCTGGGAGTGGGCCCGAAGGTTTGGATAGGTAAAGTATTAAAAAAAAAATCCCCAAGAAATTAGAACTCTCTTGCATTGCTGGTAGGAATTTAAAATGGTGCAGCCTCTTTTGAAAACAGTTTGGCAGTTCTTCAAAAAGTTAAACATAGAATTACCACATGACCCAATAATTCTACTCTTAGGTATATAACCAAAAATTGAAACAGGATTTCAAACAGCATTATTCATTGTAGCGTTATTCATAATAGCCAAAAGATGGAAACAAGTCAAGTACCAGAGGCATAGCGAAGATAACGTGAAGTTGCGCCCCCCACCCCCCTTAAGATGAATAGACATTAATAACGGAGGCTTCTCAGCAGAAACGCCTTCCCCCCTCTTGTCTGGCTGTCTCAGTCAGGCACCTTTCATATTCGTAGTGCCTGGAAATGTCATTTCATGCCTTGTCTAGCGCCCCCTTGTACTTGCGCCAGGGGGCAAGTTACCCTCCCTCTACCCCCTCCCCATGTCTCTGCAAGTGTCTATCAACAAATGAAAGGATAAATAAAATGTGGTATGTACATACAATAGGAGCCCTGATGGTGCAGTGTGGTTAAGCTCTTCACTGCTAACCGAAAGGTAGGCAGTTCAAACCCACCAGCCACTCTGTGGGAGAGAGATGTGGCAGTCTGCTTCTGTAAGGATTGCAGGCTTGGAAACCCTATGGGGCAGTTCTACTCTGTCCTATAGGGTCACTATGAGTCACAGTCCACTCAATGGCCTGCAACAACAACAACATACATACATACAATGGAATATTACTCGGCCACAAAGAGAAATAAAATTCTGATACGTGCTATGGCATAGATGAACCTCAAAAGCATTATAATGAGTGAAATAAGTCAGAAACAAAAGGACAAATATTGTATGATTCCATGTATGTGAATTATCTAGAACAGGTAAATGCATAGAGACAAAAGTTTGTTAGTGGTTACCAGACGCTGGAGGGAAGAGAGAATGGGAGTTACTGCTGAAGAGGTACTAATTTCTGTCTGGGATGATGAAAAACTTTTGGAAATGGATAGTGGTGATGGTAGCAGAACATAGTGAACGTAATTAATGTTACTGAAATGTACACCTAAAAATGATTAAAATGGCAAGCTTTTTGTTATGTATGTTTCACCACAAACAACTTTTAAAAAATTCTAAAAGAAATTTAGGTTATTCAAAACTTATAAGCAATCACACACAGAATTTGCTATAATATATTAATGAAGTAAAAATCACAAACTGTCAGTCAAGTTACAAGTTTTGGTAGCTCCAAGGAACTAAAGCTACTTATTCTTTCATTATTTATTAAAAACTTATTTGTTGAACACCTACTCTGGAAAGATACTAGGAATTGAGGATATTAGAAAGTTTTTTAGCCAAGGTTTGCCTTCTAATGATTCATAGTACTACAATTCCTCCTCCTAATACTTGTGTTTCATGCTTGAATAGAATGTCTTTTCATTAAGAGTAAAGTTAAAATACAGAATTTAGCATAGCACGTTAGAATGGAAGCAACCACAAGAGAGAATCTAGACAAAGAAGCTGAGTCCCAGAAGAGTAAATTTACTTATTCAAAATCTCACAACTAGACAGTGGCAAAGAGAAGATGATTGCCAGTTTTTTTGGTAGTTCATTCCATTATACAATACTGCCTCCCAAAGATCTTTTAAATGTTTCCTGTGTATTTCCAAAAAAGAAATTTTAATTCCCCAAACCTATATACAGTAAGCACACGTGGAGATAGATTTTTTTTTAATCTAAGAAATGACGTAATAGAATGTAATAGTGATTGATGTTTGTATTAATGTTCATCTGAATGCAAACTAGCCAGTGAAATTTTATATGACTTAAAGATATGAAAACTGTGCTCCTTGAGTTTTATGGAGCTTCAATAATGACTCTAATGCTTTTATGGACTGAAACTTTTCCTTTTTCACATTCAGGAAGAGAAGAAAACACATCCTTCTACAGGAATTAAAGGCTATAAATTTGTTCTGTAGTTACAAATTTATTATTCCTAATAAGATACAAAAAAACAAAAAAAAAGCAGCTTTTGGTTGTTGCTGCTGGTGTTCGAAAGATTTCTGCTCTAGGTATTCAGCACCTTTTATCCAATAAAAGTTTACAAACTCATGTTTCAAGTTTTATAAAACTTTTCTTTCCTTGCTACAGTTTTCAATAATTTAAATATTTTTAAATAACTAAGATAATATAATGATGTTAAAATGGTTCTTGGACAAAATACAGAGTTTGTGGAGCAAAATGGAGGATCATTACACACCAGGACAGGTACAGAGCTGCTGGTCTATTAAAACTTGTGTGTAATGGTCTGACAACTTATCTGCTTAATTTCCTGCTAGCCAGACATGATCACATCAATTTCCTTTATAAGCAACTGTTACACAATTACAACTTGGTGGGTGAGCAAAGTCATTTTAGACTCTGAACACCAGGACCATGAGTTAATTGAACCCCTCCATAGGCAAGGAACAATAATTCCTGCCCTGTTTGAAAAGCTGTAACTGTGAGGGATGTGGTACACACCACATTGTGGAAGAAACCTCACAAAAACTCAGACATTAAAGCATGCTTTTTTTTTTTTTTTGTATTTCATGGAAAATTTGCCAAGGAAAAAGAATTAAGTTTTTTTTTTTTTTAAATCTTCAAAGTGAGGATCATTCCTTGGCAAAATATGTGTGTCAAAATTTGTCTTTAAGACCATCCTACGTCATTCAGCCAAGGGTAACAATTATACTACCTGCTGTGTTTATGTATTTATTTATTTTTTAATAGTCCATTCCTTTTCTTTATTACTTCAATACATCCCCATGTTGTTGTTGTGCGTGGTTGAGTTGAGCCCTGTTGGTGCAATGGTTAAGTACTGGGCTGCTAACTTAAGGGTTGGTGGTTCCAACCCACCAGACGCTCCACAGGAGAAAAGCCCTGGTAATCTGCTCCCATAAAGATTTACAGCCTGTCCTATAGGGTCACTATGACATCCCTGTAGGAACTACTATTTAAGTTTGCCTGGATTTGAACTTTATATAAATGGATTCATATGCTGTCTTCTGTGATTTGCTTCCTTCACTCAGCCCTGTGTTTCTGGATTCATCCACGTTGACACAAGCAGTGTAGGCCATTCCTTTTCACAGTGGTATAGTTTTCCATCATAGGACTCTAGTAAAATTTATGTTTCCATTTTATAATCAATATATATTTGAATGATTTCCCACATTTTGTTTTTTGTGGCCAAAACTTGTGTAACATTTTTGTATATGTCTCCTGTACAAAAAGTGCAACACTGTTTCTAGGTTATGTACCTAGGAATGAAATTGCTGGACCAGAGTCTGTTTTCCAAAGTGATTGTACCAGTTACCCACCTACAAGCAATGGATGAGAGCTTCTGTTGCGCCAACGTTGCCAAGATTTGATATTTTCCAACTTGTGAAATGTTTGGCCAAACTGAAGAGTAAAAATGGCATTTCATTGTGGTTTTACTTTGCCTGTCTTTGATTTCTAACAAGGTTAAGCATCTATTGACATGTTAACGGGCCATTTGTACTTCTTCCTCTGAAATACTTAATCGTGTGTTTTACTCAGTTTCCTATTGGATTATTCATCTTTTTCTATTGATTTGTATGAACGCTTTAAATGTTCTAGATGCTAATTCTTTGTTGTTTATGTGTTTGAAACTATCTTCTGGCAGTTTGTGATTTGTATTTTTCCTCTCCTTAGTGGTGTATTTCATGAATAGAAGCTTTTAGTTTTAATATAGTCAACATTGTCCACCAGGCCCTTTATGATTTGTGCTTTTTCTGTCTTGTTTAAGGAATTCTTCTTTATCTGGAAGTCTTATAAAATTCCATTTTTCTTTTAAAATTTCTCAAGTTTTCACTTTTGCTTCTAAGATCTTCATCCATCTGGAATTGATTTTCAGGTATGCTGTAAGGAAGAGATCCATATGGCTAAATAATTGTCTTAAATCCATATGGCTAAATAATTGTCTTACTTTGGTCTACAACTTTGTGTTTTTTTATATTATGGTAACAGTCTATAGAGTAAGAGACTAAAAGAAACCTAATTTGTAGAAATTCAGTTCTTTAAACAGTAGGCAAATTTAGGAAGAAGTGAACTGATTAAAGGAAAAAGAAATAAAAGCCTTATTAAATAATCCATCCTTTCACCACTGACCTGTATTGCCAGCGTTGTCAAGTATTAGATGTCCTCATATGCGTGGGTCTGTTTTTATTGTTCTAATCTGTTGCTATCCATTTACTTAAAAAAAAAAATTTATTGAATACTTATTATATAACAGGTAGTGTTCTGTACCTTGAGGGTACAGCAGTGAACAACAATAATAACAACAACAACAAAAAGTAACCCCTGCCTTTGTGTAGTTTAGATCATAGTGGAGAGACGAATGATATTGTTGTGGTTTTTGGGTGCTGGCGAGTTTGTTCTGACTCATAGAAACCCTATGTACAACAGAATGAAACACTGCCTGGTCCTGTGCCATCCCCACAATCGTTGCTATGTCCATTTTTGCAGCCATTGTGACAGTCCATCTCATGGAGGGTCTTCCTCTTTTTTGCTGACTCTCTGCTTTACGAAGCATGATGTCTTTCCCCAAGGACTCGTCCCTCCTGATAACATGTCCAAAGTCTGTGAGACAAGTCTCTCCATTCTTGCTTCTAAGGAGCATTCTGGCTGTACTTCTTCCAAGACAGATTTGTTTGTTCTTCTGGCAGTCCATGGTATGTTCAATATTCTTTGACTATTGAACGACATCAATTCTTCTTAGGTCTTCCTTATTCATTGCCCAGATTTCACATGCGTATGAGGCGATTGAAAATACCATGGCTTGGGTCAGTCACACCTTACTCCTCAAAGTGACATCTTTGCTTTTTAACACTTTAAAGAAGTCTTTTGCAGCAGATTTACCAAATGCAACGTGTCGTTTGATTTCTCAACTGTTGCTTCCATGGGCGTTGATTGCGGATCCAAGTAAAATGAAATTCTTGACAACTTCAATCTTTTCTCTTTTTATTATGATGCTGCTTATTGGTCCAGTTGTGAGGATTTTTGTTTTCTTTAGGTTGAGTTGTAATTCATACTGAAGGCTATAGTCTTTGATCTTCATCAGTAGGTGCTTCAAGTCCTCTTCCCTTTCAGCAAGTGAAGTTGTGTCATTTGTATATTGCAAGTTATTAATAAGTCATCTCCAGTCTTGATGCTGCGTTCTTCTTCATATAGCCAAGCTTCTCGGATTATTTGCTCAGCATAGAGTATAACCCTGACACATACCTTTCCTGATTTTAAACCACACGGTATCCCCTTGCTCTGTTTGAGCGGCTGCCTTTTGGTCTATCTACAGGTTCTGCATGGGCACAGTTAAGTGTTCTGGAATTCCCACTCTTTGCAATGTTATCCGTAATTTGTTATGCTCCACACAGTCAATTGCCTTTGCATAGTCAATAAAACAGAGGTAAACATATTTTTTTTATAAATAAAGATAAAGACATACAACAAGCAAAATATGTAGTATGTCAAATGGTTATAAGTTGCTATGGGGAAACTAAAATAGAGAAGGGGGACAAGGAGACTGGTGGGGGTGGGAAGGGCAAATGTTGATTTTAAGTAGTCAGAGGTGTCCTTACTACTAAGATGGCATTTCAGCAGACACCTCAAGGAGTTGAGATTAGAAAGTGAGCTGTGTTGACAGCCATTTTTGTAAGCCATTATACTAATGATAGCCGTTATTCCAATGATATGCCATTAGTCATGGGCCTATTTGTTCATCCCTTTGTCAATACCACACTAGCTGAATTTCTATGACTTTCTAATAAATCCTGATAAATAATAAAGCCTGCATCTTCTGCCTGTGCTTTTTTTTCCCCTTCCATTGGCCTCTGGCTATTCTTGATCCTTTAGTCTCCCATTTAAATTTCAGAATCAACTTGTCGAGTTCCACAGAAACAAAACAAGACAAATAGTAACAAAAAACAAAGAAACAACAACAAAAAAACCCTCATTTGAGTTTTAATTGGATTTGCGTTGGATCTACAGATCACTTGGGAAAATCTGACATTTTTAAACCATTGAGTCCCCCTAATCGTAACTATAGTCTGTCTATCCATTTATTTAGCTCTTTTTTAATGACTTTCAGTTGATTTTATAATTTTCTCCATAAAGACCTTGTTTAACTTTTTTTCGATTCATTCTTAGGTACTTTATAATTTTTGTTTCTATTTTAAATAGTATATATATATATTTAAAGAAAGCATTTTCTAACTGCTGCTGGTGTATATAAATTCGATGAATCATTTCTACTTTCTTCAGCCTGTGAGCCAGCAGCCTGCTCTCTTACCTTCCAATCTTGTATTTATCAACCTCTGCAGCTTCATGAGTCAGGAGAGTCCTCCAGCCTGACGTCTGACCAATGGGCTTGGGACTTGCTGGCCTCTACAGGCTCGTGAACCATTTCTTTGAGATAAATCTCTATCTCTCTGTCTCTCTCTTTATATATATGTATATATTATGCTTCACTAAAGGAGCTGCCCATTCTCTGTGCCCCTATGATTCCTGTTTTAGTCATTGCTCTAGTCTATGCTGTTACTGCCTGTCCAGTTGTATATCTCCCAGCTAAATCAGCTCCTTGAGGGCAAGGGTTGTATATTCTTTATTAGTATATCTCTAATACCAATTCACAGTACTGTGAACATCCAGTTAATGTTTGTTGAATATATGATTTATAAAAGTCTGCAAATTTCTCATATACAGTGGATATCATCATGATGACGGCCCCATTGCCGCAGTTAAGGTGTCCTGGAGCCTGGACCCTCAGTCCTTGGTGTTCTTGGGAGTTTCCCTCTTTCAGTGCTGATCTCCCTGGCACCTCTGAAGTTACCACACCTTATAGCTTTTAGTATTTTCTGCCAGCTTCTGGTCAAATTACCACAGTCAGCCATACCCATGCTCAAAAATTTAAGGGTTAAAATAAGAAGGAATTCTTGTCTTCAGGGATGTCTGTCTGGAAATTTGCCTACCTGACTAAGACTCTAAAACCTGTTTTAGGCAGGATGTGTAGGATGGAAGTTCTATTCCTTAATTAGGAAACTCTCATGTGCTATGAGCACTGTCTTATACCTTATTGGTGATGAGGATGAGAATGTCCCAAGTTTTAATTTTATGCATCGTAGAATGAATATGATATAATAACTTTCTTCTACCAAGTCACATGGTAGAATTTGAAGTGCCATTCCTTGGCATTTCTGCCTTATGTAAAAGCAACACTCCCTTTCCCAAAAGATGGAACCATGCTATTGCTTGTCTTTGAAGGAGTGCTAGTGTAGTTTTTGAGTCCTAGGCAGTGCAAACAGTAAGCACTCGAATATTAGCCAAAAGGTTGGCAGTTCGAACCCATCCAAGGGGCCTCTCAAGACAGGCCTGCTGATCTGCCTCCAAAAGGTCGCTGTTGCAATGCTTTCTTCCACCAGGGTGTTGCAACTTTGCTTTTTCTTGCCTCAGTAGAGCATGTGATTTGATGGAACCATATTAGCAATGACATTACCACCACATTCACTTTGGTGGTTTGCATCTTTGGTTTTCAATGGAAGCACTGTGAAAAACCATAAAAGGTCAAGACCCATTTAGTTCAGAGAATTTGTACAGTCCGTAAGTTGAGAATTCTCAAAGACCATGCATGCTTCATAGGGCATAGAGAGAGCCTCAAATATTATATTTACGTTCAGTACTGTTCTTAAACATTCAACTTTATTTTTCCTTGGAAGTGGGGTTGAGAAGGAATTGATACAAAAACAAAGATAAATGACTTAATGCATTCTATTTAATGATGTGCTACATCAGATAAAATTATTTGAGAACTGATTGTTCTCGGTCTTGGCAGGCCGCTGAGTTTCAATTACAGCTATTGATATGATAAGAATGAAGCAACCCTGAAAGTACTGGTAGCTGCTTTTGAGGCAGTGAAATGTATCTGTTTCTTGTGTAACTCTGCAAGATAAGATGGACATAAAAGTTGTAGACAAAGCTATCTTCAGAGACTGACCAGGGGACCACAATTCTAGGAAACTTCAGAGGTAACTTTTAGTCTCAACCTCCTTGAAAAATCAGTTACTTTGTATCTTTAGCAAATCTTTGTTCAGAGATTTTTCTCATGGTCTCATGTTTTCATGTTTTTGTAAAATACTAGAGAATGGCTCTAACTGAGGGTGAAGAAGAAGCTACCTAAATACTGACACATAGGGAATGACACCAGGCCCCACATGTCCTAAAATACCTTCTTCATTGCCCGCTGAAGAGGACCTGCAATTCCCAGTCTTTGAGACATTTCTTCGGGTTAAGACTTAGTCTCCAAAATGTTCCCACTAAAACGTGTTGGTAGAAAAGAGAAGGCATCAGACCTAGCCCTCTCTCACCGACCTTATTAATAATCAGCACACATCATTGTGTTGATTTTTGTTTTGGTTTCGGTTTTGTTTGATTTACCTTGGTTTTAGTTTTGTGTAATTCATTGGCAACACTAGTTATCATCTTAGAAATCAAGGAAGAGTACATGAAATAAAGTTGATAAAATCTGACCGCTGCTTCCTCCTTCTGCCACTCCTGGCATTGCTTGTGTGCTGTTCGGTGCGGGCCTGGTACTTCTTTTGTGACGTGGCGGCTGAGGAGACTATGGTCTCACTGTAGCCGATGAAAAACCCAAGGAAGGAGTCAAGACTGAGAACAACGATCATATTAATTTGAAGGTGGCGGGGCAGGATGGCTCTGTGGTGCCGTTTAAGATTAAGAGGCATATACCACTTAATAAACTAATGAAAGCCTATTGTGAATGCCAGGGTTTGTCAGTGAGGCAGATCAGATTCCCATTTGATGGGCAGCCAATCAATGAAACAGACTCACCTGCACAGTTGGAAATGGAGGATGAAGATACAATTGATGTGTTCCAGCAACAGACAGGAAGTGTCTTCTAAAAAGGGAGCCTACTACTTTACTCCAGAACTCTGTTCCTACAGACCAAGAATACATTCTCAATTAGAAAACCACAATTTGGTTCCACCACATCCTGACTACTACAGTATAGTTTTCTCGGTTCTTTCCCTTTCCCTTTCCCCATTCCTTTATTGTATATAAAGTAACTCGTGTATGCACACAAGCATACTGCATTTTTTTTTTTAACTAGATGGCTAATGGTACACTTTGACTGACATCAAGTGGAGATGGGATGGGAAAAAATACTGGTTCTGTGAAAATACCCCCTTTCTCCATTAGTGGCATGCTCATTCAGCTCTTATCTTTATATTCCGGTAAGTTATTTTGCTCTCAATGGTTAAACAAAAAACAACGACATAAAAAATCCTTGCATACCTTGTTTGATTGGAGAATTTTAATGTTTTTTCATTTATCATTGTAAAGCCAAGGACAATTTTATAACTTTTTTGTACGTAGCTGTTACCTGTAGGGCTATCTGTCTTTAGGTAGGGATACATTACTCTAAAAGAAATGAATCCTAGATATTTTTCCCTTCAAGTCAAGCATCTAGTTGTTTAAATAAACTTCTTGTTAAAAAAAAAAAAAAAACTGACACGATTTAGTTCTTTCATGGCTTAGAAACTTGTTCCATTTCCCCTTTGGGTAGCACTGATACTGAAAACACAATACTGAAGCAAGAAGGATGTAACACCCATGAAACAGAACCCCATCTGTGTACAGGTCAAGAAGCAGGCAAGGAGGCAGGTGCTGGGAAGGAAACCTAGAAGGCAATTGAAATAAGCACTCTAATAATTTGGGAAAAAGAATCAGAAGAGAGACAGCACAAACTCTGGACTGTATTATGGGACCTCAGACAAGATATTAACTTGGCTTCTTCTTCTTGCTGAAATGGCTTTCATGTCCCACCAACTTTACGCTGAAACCTTCTGAGCTCTTTAGTACACTGGGTGTTAAGTTATTATGGGAACTATGATCCTTATCATGTATTCTGAGGATCGGATGCTTTTTGTTGGTCCCAAGATATAATGGTCCAAGTATTTGGAAAACTAATGTTTAAATTTGTAATTTAGGCTGCAACCACACTTTTGTAATCTCTACCAAAATTACAGCTATCTGTAATACAACTCTCTTTCCCTCTCTCTCTACTTTTACTCAAAAGTATTGATCAATCTTGCAAACCTAGGGCAGAGGTGTGCTGTATACGATGACCTTGCATTCAAATGCTGAGTTTGATTTATAAGGCTGTAAACTGGATTGCTGGAACTCTCTGAAGCCCCAAGGTGTCTCTGGAGCGGATTTACACTGCTGTGTATGACTTTCAAGGCAGGAACTGTGTGGAGGCAGAAGCAGGGTGTTGCCATCCAGAGCCTGTTATCTTGCTTTGCTTCCTTGCTAGATATGGTGCTAACCTGTTGACTGTGGTGTGGCTCATGTGTCATTTGAAGGGGTTGCTTTTTCCTGAAAGGGAGGGACAATCCTTTTTCCTGGGCACAAGTTATAAATCTTGATTTTACTTGTTACATTTTGCAATTTTCTTTGATTCTTTATACAAAGGAATTTTACAGTCATCTCAAATACATATAAGGAAAAAAAAGAAATCACATCTAACACTATGATTCTGAAAAGATAAGGAGTATCTATTTAACTCACAATTTGCCTGTTTCAAATAAACATAGCCACGACTTTATCTTAACTCTTTGGAGAAAAGCCACTAAATAAATCCAACAAACTTGAAATGTCTTACCATAACCATTTTATTTCAGGGTTTATAAAGGAGCTTTAGATGTTTCTGATGGTCTGTTGGTTCTGCGCTTACAAATCAAACCCCAAGAACAACTGTAGTAAATTCATTCTGAGAGAAAAAGCTAGAAATCCAAATAACACATTTGTGGTCAAAAAGCATGTCAAATTTGATAATTTCAAAAGGGGAGACACAACTGATACATGGAAACTTCTGAAGTCTAATAAACATATACATCATTTAAAATAGCAACCAAGTCTGATAATCTGATCCTAATTCTCTCTTGCCATGTAGTCAGGAACATGTTGGTCTAGTTTAACTGAGCAGGGAAAAGGAAATAGAAGATCAGGGCCTCACCTAACTTCCTAAATGCTGACTCTCGTGTTTTTTCTCTAAGTCTATACGTAAGAAGTGCTGGTTTTAAAAGTAATGATTAACAAAATAAACGGCACTGTAAGATCTTCCCCTTGCCTGAGGGGTTTGAATGCACATGTATATACGAGAACAAAGTAAGAACAGACTGCACGTGAAGAAATACTTATCTGTGGGTATGTCAACCATGAAACTACTGTTGTCTATGTTTCCTGACAGATTAGGGGTCATGCCTTGGATGTGTTACATTGGTGTACACTGTTATTTTGCAGTCATCCCTACATTACAGAATGAAGCCTTTCTTTGAGAGACTGAACCCTAGCAGCATATTAGTCATGATTTTCAGAGGTAGAAGGTGAAGCATGCAGCGTTCGGCACTGTGAGACAGGTTGAATGACTTCTACAGAGTAGTGATGACAATAACTGAGATTAAGCACCTCGGCATGTATTCTCTATCCTTCCACGATTCCATCTTAAATTAACACATTCACTCCATGAAACTCCTGGCTCACCATGTTTTACATTTCCAGAGATGCACGCAGTGAAAATTCAGAGCTCTCTGTATTCCCAGGGCTGATAATGTGGCTTCAAAGGAAAGGTAATTTATAACTTGACCCTGAGAACAGCACTGAGGGCAGTCAAGGAAAGTTAGTTTAATATGATCTACCAGTCATAGCATATCCAATCCCTTCTTAAATGATTTTTATTTCCAGTCTTTACAACCCTGCAGGGGAATTTGTTGCATAAGTTTACAATGTTATGCCTCTTTTAGTTTTATTAAGACTAGCCCCTTCAGGTATCAAGGAAGACTCATTAATTCTCAAATTCCAGGATAGAAGGAACAAGTCTATTTTTTAATCTGTTATTATTTTGTATTATTTCAGAGACTTAAATAATCTCAACTTTAAGTTCATATTTTTGTACTAAGTGGTCCTCCTGTAAGCCCCCTACTCCACCAAGAGCTGAGTTAACCCTTCGTCAGCTCCTTTCTGGCTCTGCATAAATGCAGAACCATGAACCAGTGATGGCTTAATCAGTCAAATCAGTTCAACGTCTGCAAAACACAAAATGCATATAACTCAGCTTTCTTAAAAAAATGTTACAGCCATTTCTACTAAGAAGGGGTTGCTGATGATGCAATGGGAAAGAAATGCAAAGTAAAACACAAGGAGAGAGGATGGAGAAACTTGGAAAATTTGGTGAGAGAAGAACAAGGATACAGATATGGAGAGTGTGGCAAGCAGGATAGGGTGTGCATTAGAGAAAGAAAGGTGTAGGGAGTCAAAACAAAACAAAACAAACTAAAGGAAGTGGGGAGATGGGAGACCAAGTTTTGTTGTTAAAGGTCATGAGTGATAGATGAGAAAAAAGAGAGACACGTTTCAGCTCTTCTTCCCTCAAGAGCTAAGTGTATTCCACAGAATATTAAGGTGCCCTATCTCAGCGGAGACTTCAGACAGATTTGTCTTCAGAATGTGTCATGAGCTTCCTGGATAAAGACAATTAGAACCTTCATCACGGCAGCTCTTGCTCTAAGCTTCCACTGGAGTTTAAATGAGGATGTGTATGTGTGCTTGTGTATGTGTGTCCAAGTTTTCTTAACTATTTGAAGGGTCATACAGTAGAATGGGAACCATCAGAGTCTCCCACAAAATTTCCTTCAATGATAGATTTGGTACATAGGGTTTGGATTACAATAGCTAACGATGACTGAGTCCTATGAGTCAGGCCCTATGCTTCCCTCTTCACAAAGCTGATCTCACTTAGCCCTTAAACCCTAAGTAAGATGTAGAATTTTATAGATCTCTATTTTATAGATCAGGGAACTGAGGCTTAGCAAGGTTAAATAACATCTCCCAGATACTAAGTGTTGGAGCCTGGATTTTTGCGTCGTAAAATGTGAACTCCATTCAGAACTTTTGACTAATTTCTGTCTTAGTTCTAGTACACGTTATGAATGAAGGCATAGTCAACAAATGTTTGAAAATTTTGACATCAAATTGTCCATCTGTTCATTATTAGAAAGAAGTTTGTATTCTTTTTTATTACTCAGTGACTATGTCTCTACCAACACATTACGTCTTAATGATACCAGTGGCTCTCCTGACCCTTTCTGAGCAGAGTATGCACTATCTTTTAGAAGTCACTGGAGAATATTAAAAAGCAGTGTCATCTCTGACAAGAGCCCCTGTATAAAAGGGCCAATTGGCCTCCATACTTGCAGGCATAATTCGTTGAATTCCTTCTTTTTACAACATCTGTAATGTAATCATGTAAGGACTCCATTCTTCATTGTAAGACTGTCCTTTTTCTCACTCTGTACTTCATGAAGCTTGGTTGGACACAGTGCTCCCATTGAATACAAGACAGGCTTAATGCTTGGATCATTCTAAAGGGTGCAGAGAAGATTAAAAGCTGACCGCACATTCAATCAATAAGCAGGAAGAGTTCGAATCACAATTGGAAATGTCTGCCATATTTGCTCACTCTCCAACCTGTGCACAGCCGTCACACACAGAAGTCCTTGATGGTAATAATGTGCTTGATCTTTGCAAGTCCAAGGGCAAAAAATGGAGGACATTTTAAAATGCCCAAGTATTTTGCCTTCAGCAAATGACTTACATTAATGTGTCACTACATGAATGTTGAACTTTTGGGATCTGAAATTTTATCATGGTATCTCTGTTGCTAGATAAAATAAAATATCAAAATAACACATATAAGAAACAGTACCTTTCAGTCAAATCTTAGCCTAAAATAGAAATTAGTTTGAATTTTGACTTTTCTTGTATGACTGACCTCTGCTGAAATCAGTCGCTAAGTTACTTATTTTTGCCTGTGTTTATTAAGCATTTTCTATATGCCAGTGTGTTGAGTGCTTTTGTTGGATTACTTCCTCTAGTCTCCCATATCAGCACTGTAAGCTAGGAAGCACT